TTTTTATTTTTATTTTTGCATGTTATCACTGTGCCCTTTTTTTGCTTTTATTCTTTGTTCCGCAAAGTGCGCTCTTTTAGTTTGTAGTTATGTGACTATATATATATACATGTTTGTTTGTTTGCTTTTTGTTTTGTTTTTGCCGTTTGTTTTGCAAATTGCTCTCTTCTAGTTCATGGTTATGTGACAATATATATACAGCTCTGTTTGACGATATATATGTGGATTTGTGCATGAGTTCGTCTTTTGTATGAGGGTGAGCTGATTATGTTGAGCATGCCCCTCCCAAAAAAAACGCTGGGAACTTGAGGTAACTTGTGCTCTGCATGAATGTGTCTTTTGGTATTTTGCAGCCATTTGTGCCAGTGAAACCTGCTTCCAAGGCGGAGCAAATGCGTGATTGTTTACGGAAAATGAAACAATCTCATAAGGTGAGTTGTGGAAAGTCTTTTGGAAGGCTGCTGCAATGTCCCATGCAGATGGCTGAGCCGCTGAGATGCTCTTTTGTCATGTAGGTACTGAAAAGGAAGGACAGACTTGGCTACGGAAATTCTTCTTGGGGAAGAAAAAAATTGTAAGAGGAAGAGGTTCTGGCCCCCAGTGATACTTTTTGGCGTCAGCAAAGCATGAACGTGGCTACTTGTATGATCCGGTTCATGCTTTCCAAGTGTAAACTTAGCGCTAATGGGGGATGCCCCTGAGAGCTTGGGGATTGTGTGCATCGCCGACTCGACTTATGCCCTCTCTTTTTTGGCATGTCTTTTTCGATTTGACGTCTTGGGCTGCTGACAATCTCCTTCCTGCACATACTCTCTCTGTCGCTCAGTTTGGAGAGATCTTGAACTGTTACCCCACCAATAGGGTTAAGGGTTTTTCCTAAATTGGTTTGGAAATGTCTGTTTGCTGTGCATTTTTACTGGCTAATGAAAATTAACACATCTTCTGCTCTGCATATAATGTCCTTCCTGCACGCTCTCTCTGTGACTCACTTTCTGGGCAGTACGGCGTGCTGGAAAATGCCTCTTTGCCGCACTTTTTTTGTTAAAAATGAAAAAGAAGAAGTGGACCATGTGGTCCATTTCTCGATTTATGCGTGCCATCCTTGCGCAAGGGCCATGCTAATCTTCTCTGTATCGCTCCAATTTTAATGGATGTTTGCTGCACATTTTACTTGCTGAAAATTTTCTGAGTGGCTTGTGTGACTGAAATTTGCAGGACTAGGCATCTGTCTGAAACTTCCTATGCCCGTATAGGCACAACAGGATGTATGTGGGTACCCAGCCAAATCTGACACTGGGAAGTGCAGCCTTGTACGCAATCCCAGCCCCGGAGGAACCTCTATGTACTATCAGGCTAGGAAGAAAACCTGTGCGCCCGGGCAACACACAAGGGCATAGTAAAAGGTGAAACGGTTTTCACCTTTTGCAGTCACAGATGCGGATCCCAGGGCTCGATCCCCAGACCTTACCTTACCTTACCTGTGTACAGTATCAAGTCGACCCTGTGTGCCGTGAACCTGTGTTACATCTTCGAGTCACACGGGTCCTACCGGACCCGACTTAGGGCCGAAGGGACACACCAGGGCCTAAAGGCCCGACCTTGAGGGTCACAAGCCCTAAAGGCCTGATTTTTGCACTCAGCCCAGTGGGTAGGCCCAAACGACACTTTGTTTGGGCCTGGCGGCGCTCTTGAGGCTGCCACCCGCCGATGGAGGCTGAACCGTCCATCTGGACGGTCCAGGGTCTGGCTTGGCCTCGCAGCATTGAGGCCAGACCATGGCCTACCGGTATAAGTACCGGTACCTGCCTCAGTAGAGGCATCGACCTACCGGCACTATACCGGTACGGTATGGTCAGCGCCAGAGCGCTGTTTTGATGCGCTAAACTTAGCGCAGGGGCTGAAGCAGGAGCGCAGCATAGCGCAGATTAGCGCAGCAGCTAGCGGAGCAGCGGCAGGGCGACTGAACCAGCACGGCGG